TGTGTAATGATAGAGCCAGGCATGTGGCAGGGGAATGGAGAGAAGGAAGCAGACCATATAGGATGTGTGAAGTTGCAGGAGGAATATGGGTGTTGAATAGCCCTGGAGTTTGAATCCTAATTCTCCCAATTTCCTAGCTGTAGAATCTCGGTGATGTTTCTTTGTCTCTGAGCCTCAGTTTCTTCCTCTATGACATTGAAAGTTTTCATTTCTTCTACGACAATGGAGCTATCATTTCTTGGGGCTTCTGGGAAAACTGAATTCTGTTCCGGGACCTAGCCTATGGTCAGAAACTGTTAAACGTCATCTCATTCCTGAGGATTATTAAAGATTGAGCCTGTAGGAATTACTATTTTATTTGCAGGCGAGAAAGAAGAAAACTGAGACTGACCAAGAGGTTTCTCCCTTGGATACAGTAATACTTTTAAGTAAACTCTGAAATACAGGAAAAGGGACAGAATTTTGTGAAAAGATGCAGTCAGTTTTGGATCTCTTGACTTTGAGATGTCTGAGAGATCCAAGTCCTGGCTGTAAAAAAACACATGTATGTTTGGAGGTGAGAACTAGAAATACAGGCCTGAGATTCATTGGCATATAGTTAGAAATTGTTGTAGAAAATGCATGATTTGCGGGATTTGGGTTATATCTCAGTGGTAGAGCGCTTGCCTCACACTTGAGAAATACTGAGTTTGATCCTTAGCACCACATAAAAAATAAATAAAATAAATAAAGATATTGTGTCCATCTTTAAAAAAAATCTTAAAAAAAAAAAGAAAATGCATGATTTGTATGTGGCTGAAAATTCCTTCATGTGTTGTTATTCCTTTCCTTCTGAGCCTGGCCCTGCCCTTCAAGTGTCCTTTCTTTCACTGGGCTTCATTCTTGTAGCCATTGGAATCTTGATACCCCCAAGGGCCTTTTCCTCCCCATCATTCCTTGAATCCACCAAGATGCTAAATTTGGTCACCTTTTGTTTTCTGCATCCCCAAGGACAAGCCCCTCCTTCACAGTCTCACTTCTGCTCTAATCTGGATCCTTATAGATTCTTGAACTCTTTGCCTGATTTCTCTCTCTGCTTCCTTCAGAGCCTCTTTGCTACTGCTGAATTGTATTATAGTCTCATACAGAACTGCCACTGTCTTCCCTTGAAGAATTCTTCAGCCTCACATATGCAGCTTCTCCCTGTGTGGTCACTCATGTGACCCATTCAGCTTTGTGAGTGCTGCTCTTGCTCAGAACAAACCCTCCACTCAGGACAAACACTCCTGTTTCCCTTTGTACCAGGATAGTTCCTTTGATCATCTTGTCCCTTCCACTCTCTACCCACTGTCCTTGTCCTTACCATTCTTTTCAACCTTCTCTTAGTCTTAACTCCTTCACAGAGCCTCTCTTGTGGTCCTGCCCCAAACTCATATAACCATCTTGACTTTTTATGTAAAGCACTAGTGTTGCATTTTATTATATAGTTACATCAAAGCTCCTCATTGTTGATTCTAAAATCCAATAAAGTTGGAAAACTGAAAGATGGATCTATCTACTATCTGTCTATTTTGTAGTACTGGGGAATTGAACCCAGGGATACTCTACCACTGAATTACATCCCCAGCCCTTTTTATTTTTATTTTTTAATTTATTTTTTTAGAGAGAGAGAGAATTTTTTAATATTTATTTTTTAGTTTTCGGCAGACACAACATCTTCATTTGTATGTGGTACTGAGGATTGAACCCAGCGCCGCGCGCATGCCAGGCGAGCACACTACCGCTTGAGCCACATCCCCAGCCCCTTTTTATTTTTTAAGACTGGGTCTCGACAAGTTGCTGAAGCTGGCCTCAAACTTTGTATTGCCCTGCCTCAGTCTCCTGAGTCACTGCGATTACAGGCATGTACCTCCATGCTGGGCTGAAAGCTGTATGATAATCTTGTCACAAAACTTTGGCAAAACCTCTCTGGATATGAACTGTCTTTTTAATATTTGGTAGTTTTATTGGAAGATAACTATTATAGTAACAAAGCTAGAGAGTTTTACAGAGACCACTAGCGTGGAAATTTTTTATTTTATACATACAGTTTTAAAACAAATAAACTTACTAATAAGATTTCATCTATTTACTGACATTGTGAGTTTGATGAATTTACTGAACATTTATTATGGCACTCTTATGACCTCTTTCCTAACAAGATGGCAGAAACCAGGACTCATGCCCATTGACAATGCTTATTAACAAAGCAAATACCATTTTTTAGCTAACATGCCACATATTGGATAATTCCTACTAAATTATGCCTCAGATCACAGTCAAGACACGTTCTTACCTCTTCAAACTAGAGCCTTTATTATGAATTGCATAAAGAATACTGAATGCTATATTTTACATTTTGGATAAAATATAACTATTTTGTTGGACATGGGCTAGCCTTGAAGAAGCATGATAAAATCTATTTTAAGTCTCTTAGTTATCATCTAAAATGTATCTTCAAAAATATATCAAAAGATATTAAGGTCCTCACTAACTTAGAAGTCTAAGAAAACCTACATTTTATTCTTTATAATTACCTCAGGATTCTGCTTAAATGCAAGCAACACAGTCCTAGAAAGGCATGATGGGTAGTTGATTGATTAGGTTTTCCACAGTAGTTGATGATTATTGACAGAATCAGACTGGTATTTTTATTGCTTTTTAAGTTTTTTTTWAATTTTGTATGTGCGCTGAGCTTCAAACTCAGGGCCTTGTTTGCTAAGCTTATGTTCTTCCACTGGACTACACCCCCAAACCTTCATGCCATTTTAAAAGTTGGAAAATATATTTTTGCTTGAATATAAAGGAATTAGTTTTGAACATTCATTATGACATTGCCTGACCTACTATTAAAGAAAAACAATGGCTAATTAATTTTCAAAGTTGTAAGTTTTTTCTTGTTTAAATTTTGTCCACTTAAAGATCAGTCTGTAGAAGGTGATTAATTCAAACAGATTTTAAATAAAACATTTTCAGATGTAAGTGATGTTAGAAAATTTTAGTTTTCCAGCCTGTAAAGCATATATAGTACTACTTCCTTTTTCTGTAATTCACAAAGGCTATTTAAAAGTGGAGCTATCAGCTCTGGCACATAAAACCCAATATACATGTATAACTGTGTAGCTAAGTGAAAAATTAGGAAATCAATGTACTCTCAGACAGAAAACCCTGAAAAATAATGAAATCTTATAGCCTGATATTGGAATTAAAGGGAATTAGCAAAGTTAAATTAATTGTCCAAACCCGTTGTTGGTTAACAAAAAATTGATTTAACTTTGATTGATTTAGCTTGGGGATGTGGCTAAGTGGTAGAGCACTGCTTAGCATTTCTGAGTCTCTGGGTTCCATCCCCAGCATAGTACGTGAAGGTAGATAAGTCTAATTCAAGAGATTTGAACAAGTTCACTGAAAATACTCATATCTAGGGCATAGACACAAATCTCTTTGGCAAACAGGACTGTTGCTGAGTTATTTTTATTTTTTTCCTTTGGTACAGAGAGCATTAAGATATGGTTTTGTGTTATGGTAATTGAAAGGTATTCTCACATACAGTCAGAAACACCCTGAATGAAATAACGCTTATGCTGATCTCATTAGACTGCCAGAATCCTCTTGTTTTGAGCTTCTCATGATACAGTGTGTGTTTCCTGAGTGTGCAAAGTACACATGCCCAATTGCCAGGATGGTCAAATTTATTTGATGATTTGGGGGGGGGGGGATGAAGTTTTCAAATCTATACCATAGTGTAAAATGCAAAGTTGCCATGCATGTAAGGGAGCAAACATGAAATTTCAAAGAAATTAAAGGCATAGGAAGTAACGAGAAGTTTGCCTTGTATTCTCCTTGGCTGGGGAGGACAATGCAGTACTCAGACAGAATTTCAGCGGTTGAATTGTTGTGTTTCTGAACTTTGGATTTTGTACTTGTAGAGTTTCTTAGGACCACATGGATGGTGATGATTTCTGAGATCTTTTTTTTTTTAGTGGAGGTAATTGGAGATTAAACTCAGGGACACTTAACCACTTAGCCACATCTCCAGCCCTATTTTGCACTAATTGTTTAATGCCTCATTTTTGCTGAGGCTGGCTTTGAACTCACCATCCTGCTGCCTTAGCCTCCTGAATTGCTGGGATAACAGGTGCATACCACCATGCCAGTAACTTCTGAGATCTTAACCATGTAGAAGAAGGAGTAAACATCATCACTCAGACTGACTGACGTGAAAGGAAGAGGCACCAAAGTTAAGACCAGGGACTGGATTTGTAGCCCAGTGGTAGAGCACCTGGCTGACATGTGTGAGGCCTGGGGCCCATCCATTGCATTGCAAAAATGAAATTAAGATCAGAAAGGGTTATTTTGGAAAGTCATGTCATGAGGAGACCCAACTTGACAACACAGGAAATTAGGATAGTTTACTCCACCCCACCCTCCATGTTATTTTGTTTTATTGGTACATTCTAAGTATACAGAACTTTGGGATTTGTTACATTTTTAGCACATGCATACAATGTAACAATACAATTTGGCTCTCCAGCACTTACCCACTATGATAGTTTTCAAGGTTCTGTTTTCAGTAAAATAAGACAGTCATAAAAACACAAACCTGATATGTTCCAGTTACATGTGGGTATTTAAGATCATCAAACTCATAGGGACAGAAAAAAGAATGGTGGGTGTTGGCCTGGGAAAATGAAATTGTGTAAAGGGTACAGAGTTCCACTTTTGCAAGGTGGAGAGATTCTGGAGGTTGGTTTTGCATCTGAATATACTTCATGCTACCAAATTGAAACTTCAAAATGGTTAAATGGGCAGATGACATGTTGAATGTGTTTTACCAAAGTTTTTAAAAAGTCAAGTTGTAAGATGGTTCATGTACCTCTCCTTTTTGTTTGTTTGAATTAAGCTTTATTACAAATATTTTTTTTCTTTTGGGTTTTGTTTTGGAATGTTATTTCACTGTATTCTATTGTGTTTCTTAATAGGCACCAATTAAGAGCAGCAGCTATGGGGGATCCTGGACTCTTCAAATTGCAGTTTGCCCCCTTCAGCAGTGCCTTAGATGTTGGCTTTTGGCACGAGTTGACCCAGAAGAAGTTGAATGAATATCGACTAGATGAAGCCCCCAAGGACATTAAGGGTTATTATTACAATGGTAAGGTGGTAATAAACTGCCTCTCCTATCATCTTCTGGATCCTCCCTGTCCTCTAGTATAGTACCAGATTACTTGTTTATCTATTTATTTATTATTTTTGTGGACCTAGGCCTTACACATGCTAGACATGCACTCGACCACTGAGCTACACCCCAGCCCTCAGCTTTCCTTTAGAAAGAAACTCCCATTTCTTTTATATTCAGTCCTCTTCACTTCCTTTTTTCCTTTCTGACTTTCAACCCACGTTCCTTTTTCTTTTCTCTTGTTCTGGGGAAAAGAAATAAAATAGTAAAATGCAAGTTATTAATCTGAATACTGATTAATTAGTTTTACGGAAAGAAGAGATCCAAAATATTTTTCCCCCCAGGAGTCCTTCTTATAATTTTGGTAAATCCCTCACAAAATCCCTGTCACATTCTGCCATTATCCATACAGACATTATCTGTGTGTCACAGATAAGCAGGGATTGGATGGTGCCCTTGGAGCTCCATCAACAAAGAGAACAAAATGATTGCAAATATTTTTGTTATGAATGCTACTGTTTCTGACTTGTTATTGAAGATGCAACCATTCTTCTGTTCAGGTGATTCTGCGGGACTGCCAGCTCGCTTAACATTGGAGTTCAGTGCTTTCGACATGTGAGTATTTATTTTCACAATCTAAAGAACTGTTCTTGGAAAGGAGTGAGCATTCTCACCTCCCTCAGAGGTGGACCACAGGAGAAGCTGGAGAGGGTCTGGGGAGCAGAGCCAGGGCCTCAGGTTCCCTTGTGCATCCTGTTAAGATAAGTGCTAGATGCTTAGGACTTTCTGGTTCATTTTTAAATATTTTTTTTAGGTGTCAATGGTTCATTTTTTCAGCAGAAAAAAATGAATATTTTTCAGAGCCTTGTAGGAACCAGCTACCATCTAGATTGAGACTTATCGAGCATCTCTCCTGATTTTGATTGTAGCTTATATTTTATGATTCTTTATTCTCTTGACTTACTCCTTTAGTAGCGTATGCATTGATCAATGAATGTTTATTAAGCCAGATTGGTATAGGAGCCACTGTGCAAGACATTATGGTAATGTTCAAAGGATATGACAGATATATTTCTTTTTTTAAATCCACTTGGCACCTAGGGGAGTTGCTGGAGAGAAGAGAGGCATATACTGAACACTTAACTGGCTAGGCATTTCTATAAACTTAATCCTTTCAGATCTGCCAAGTGTGATTTTTCACTTTTTCAGATGAAGAGACTGTGGGTCAAAAGATAAAATGGGTCAAAAAGTCACAGCTAGCTAAATTTAGAAAGCACAGTGACAGAGCACTTGTGTAACATGTACAAGGCCCTGGGTTCCATCCCCAGGACTTGGGGGGGGGGCGGTGAGGGGAAAACTAAAATGTATTCAGAAGCGTATTTCTGAATTGTAGAAGTTTTGGCTTAGAACATGTTGAGTTTGAGTGACAGTGTCCTCCAGAAATGTCAGAATGGACTGAGTCCAAGAGAGGGGTGAGTAGTTGGTGTGGTGGTCATCCATGCAGAAAAAGCCATGAGGCCATATGTAGGAAAGAGAGCAGTGGATGAGAAGAACAGAGGGTCTGAGCAGTGAGTGTGGCCCTGATTTAGAGGATGCAAAACTTGGAAATGGATTGTCATAGGATAGTCTGAAAAATGAAAAGTCCTATATAAACCAAAGGAGGAAGGGCTTTGATGAAGGAGAAAAAGATCAACAATGTCAGAAGTCCAGAGGTTAGAGTTCAGTACAAGGGTCCTTAGGTTTGTGGATGAAAGCATTTGTGGTCCTTGTGAATTCATTTTCTCAAACTAAAGTTTACACAAAAAATTAGAATGGGGGGAGGGTTGCAGTTAGACGCATAACCATGTTGAAGGGCTTTAAGATTATGGAAGATTAAAGAAGTAAAGGCTCTGGTGAGATCCACTTCCAATGTCTGCTACCTCAGCAGGGTCAAGATGAGGAATTTTGGGGAGAGCAGAAGTCTTTGTAAAGTCACATGGTTTCTCCAAGTGGCAGTAGTATAGTCAGTGGTTAGGTTATTGCAAATAAAGTGTCTCTAGAATTCTTTGTTTTATTTCTCAAAAAAATCAATACATTTTATTCTTTTATCTCCATCAGATTGCAAAATTAAAAGCATAACACAGGGCTGAGGATATAGCTCAGTTGGTAGAATGCTTTCCTTGTATGCCCAAGGCCCTGGATTCAATCCCTAGCACCAAATACACACACAAAAAATTGGCAAATCTTACTGTATATTAATTGAATTGTACCTCAATAAAATTGACACAAAAATTGTTAAAAAAAAAAAGTATGACATAAACCCCAAATAGTGTTAGGCTTTATACATTTATAAAGTGTGTATTGGCCTTTCTTTTCTCCTTTGGAACTTTCTTGATCCATCAAATTTCTGATGATTACTTCTCAAAACAAATTAAGTGCTAGTAAGCTCTCTTGGTGTTTTGGCAAGACTGATCAACTTTGGGGGCAACTTCAATATAACAATGAAAAGACTGAAAATGTACAAGCATTAAAACTTTTATTCTTTGAGACATTAGTAAGAAAAAAGTAGCTCAAGGAAGTTAAATTTGATCTTATTACAAAATCCAAGCATACAAATCTTGAGTAATCCATTTTGGTGAAAGAAACTCTGTGATCCTGCAGCTATGACTGTCACACAAATTGCTTGATTACGCTGGTGATACTTTTTCCTTTACCCATTCAGTACCACCAGTGTGTGAATCACTGTGGCAGACACTGGGGAGGTGAGCAGGAGGAAAACATGGCCCCTGTGCTGTGAAAATAGCCCTGTATTTGAAGTTTGAAGACCTGGGATTTATGGCTAATTAAGTGTGCTACCTCAAATAAGTCTTGTGTTTTTGTTTATTTGTTTTGTTTTGTTTTTAGCTTTTTTTTTCTCGTCTCTGGGCTTCTAGTGTTCCCACTACTATTAAACGTCTGTGTTTTTCTGAGTCTTTCTTTTGTAGCGTGATTAGGAATTTTAATAAAAGCATTTAGGACTTTCCTCAGAAGGTAGGAGATTTCTGTGTCCAAGTTATCTGTTATTGCTACTTTCTTTGTTTTTATCATCATATATCTGCATGGGTTTGTGGGGGTAAATCTTTATGAATTTATTAATCAAACTGAATGTCTACAATTTGCAGGATTGTGGGTATTAGAAATGCAAAGACTTAGGACTCTAGGGCTCCACTGCAGTATGAGAGAGATGGGGAGAGAGGAGCAGAGGACAGATATTTGCATTGTAGTGTGCTCAGTGACTAATAAATGTGGAGAAGTGATCATTATTTCAGGAATACTCATTGATTGCTTCCTCTGTGTCTTGATTATACTGTGTGCACTAGGCACTGGGCATTCGGAGAGGAAGGAGAAACAGTTGAGAGCGAACAGCCCTGGTTCTTAACTGTTGAAGCCAAAGGTGTCTCATGTTTGCATAGCACCAGATAAACCCCTTTGACTCTGGGCTCCTAGTCTTTAAAAAAAAAAAAAACATATTTTTTTGTTTTATTTGGGTGTTTTTGTTTTATTTGRATGCTGTGGATTGAACCCAGAGCCTCATGTATGCAAAGTATATGCTCTTAAGACTGAGCTACATCCCTTCCCCCAGGCTCCTAGTCTTAAGGATCTCTGTTAGCAGTTAGCAGCACCAGGATGCTATTCTTTAAATTACATGGAGTGAGTTGCTCAAGTAGTCTTTAATCAGATGCCATGCCTTGAAGATGAGAGTATGGTCTTAGAGTAGGTTGTGCCACTGAACCAGACCCAGAAATGGAAGAGCTCAAATGCAAAGAAAGTTTATTTCTGGTTGTCTTCCACCTTGTGGCTCCATCATCCTCAAGGGCTTTGCCTTTGTGCTTTAGTTAAGTCTGAGTTGTTACTTTCAAGTAACAACTGGGAGATGGGAAATAGAGCCAGAGTGAAAATAGGTGGAAGATGGAGGCCCAGCCGGTCTCTTAAAGGGCCTGGCTGGAAAGGGACATGTGTTACTACTCCCCTCAGATTCTTTTGAGAAGAGATGTACCTTTCTGGCCAGAAAGACTGGAAAATGGTATGCCCGGCTATAAGCATTGAGTATGTCATCAATTTCTGTTGAAGAGAAAGGTCAGTTTTGGATGACAATCTCTGTACCAAAGTGAAATGGTTAAAAAAAAAAAATCTTTCCTGGGCTCTCTTTATCCTGAAGATTATTTATTTTTATCTTTAATCATAAGGAAATTTTTTTTTTCTAAGTCTCAAATTAGATCTGATTGGAAGAAGATAAGGCGTAACTCTTGCCCTCAAAGAACCTAAAAAGTAGTTGTGCAAAAGCCTGTGCGCAGGACACAGGTTGTGTCTGTCTCGTCCTCTCCTGTGCTGCCTGCATCTACCATAGGGTTGGTGCATACTAGTTGCTTAAATAACTGTAGGCTGTCAAAATGGGATGTGATGTTTTTGGAAAGATACCAGTGGACTCCATTAAGGATGTTATAAATTAAAACTCAGAGATTATTAGGGAAAATAGGAGAAAATGAAGCAAGGGTGTGATTCCCCAAGCTCCCCATAGTTATACAAAGTTGTTCGTGTGGAGTAAAGAACTCTGTAGGTATAAAACTCAACCTCTGTTCTTCTGGAGGATTTATTCTGTTCTGGTTACCCGCTGCCAGGAAATAACTGGTGCATGCTACTGAGATTTTAAAAAACATTATGTCCCCACACAGGCCCAGAATTCAGGCCTTTGTGAAATCCATACTTTACCAGGTTTGTTAGTGAGCTTGGCATTACTACAACAAAATAACTGAGGCAGCAAACTTTATGAAGTTAAAAGTCCAAGATCAGGGATGGGGTGGGGTGGGGACCCATTTGTTTAGCCTCTTGTGAGGGGAAACAAGTGGTGGCACATTATGGCAGAAGCATGTGCAGGAACGAAAGGTCACATCTTCAACAGGATGAGAGAGCAAGAGAAGGGTGGGGCCAATATCAGGCTTTTATAGCAGTGCTGGCAAGGAGTCCCAGGAGAACTGCCGAACTGCCTTAGGAGGGCATGTCCCCAAGGACTAGGAGCCTCCCACTAGGCCCCACCTCCTAAAGATTCCATCACCTCCACCCTGAGGACCAGACCTTTAACACGTGGGCCTTGGAAGGGCATTTCACATCAAAGGGCACTAGGTTAGTGTGTGCATCATTGAGAATTCCTTCTTGGGTTTAGTATGTAGGGGAGATTTCTAATTCATATTCTTTTAGCAGCTTTATTGAGAGGAAGTTCACCTGCTATGAAGTCCCCCCCCCACACTTGTTTTATATATTTTTTTTAGTTGTGGTTGGACGCAGTAACTTCATTTTGTTTATTTTTTTATATGTGGTGCTGAGGATTGAACCTAAGACCTCACACGTGCTAGGCAAGCCCTCTACTGCTGAACCACAACCCCAGCCTGAAGTTTCCCCTTTTAAAGTGTACACATTAGTAGTTTTTAGTATGCCCATAGAGCTGTGCAATCGTCACCATTATCATCACTCCAAAAAGAAACCTCTAGTAGTCATTCTCCATCTGCCTCCTCCCTATACCCCAGCGCTGGGCAACCAAGAATCTACTTTGTGTCTGTGTGAATTTGCCTAGTTTGGACATTTCATATAAATAGAATCATAGTAAACTAAACTACAAAATAGTGTCAGAACTGTTCGAATTAAAATTTCTCATCCCTAAGTATTGGGCTTTTCCTTCTATTATTATTATTTATTTATTTATTTTTAATTTATCTCCCCAATAGAATTTTAGTCCTAAATAATGCTTCTCCTTTCCAATCCTCATCATTTATTTCCTGGCCTAAGTGTTGGTGTTCCTGGGAGCCATCCTGGCAGTAGCTTGGGTTCTTGGGAGATAGGTTCCTCCCCTCTCAGAGCAAGGCTTTGACGTGGCCCTCATGTACCTGTGACATTTGGACACTTGGGAAGAAGTGAAACTTCCTCTTTTGTACTTGTATTCAAATTAGTTCATAGCATCCTCCCTGTGTCCCAGGGTTGCATTTCAGCAGTAATTCCATAGAGTTAAGTCTGGGTGGAAAGGCCTAGCTTACCAACTGCTCTGCTTCCTTTTCCTTCCCTGTAGGCCTAATCTTGCCTCTTGTCATTTCTCTTTCTCCTCAAGTCTATCTTTGATGTCCTCATCTTACCTGGATGAAGAATATTCCCTTATTGGAGGAGCATGGTGACAAACAACCTGTGATTTGCTGACTCACAGCTCCCAAGGGAAGGCTTCAGCCTTTGAGCCATCGCTCTCTGCCTCCCTCCCCCAACTTGGCATTTGAGCCTCACAGGCAGCATTGGAGAGAGTTCTTATATCCTGTCACACCTGCTCTAGGTTTAGAGCTCTTCTCCTTCAGCTCCCCAAACCCATTTTTTTTTTTTTTTTGCAGACTCTAAATGAAAAGACACTGGTTATTTACACCAAGCAGCTACCATTAGTGTAACGAGTAACAGTGCATTCTCTGCATTRGTTGTAAATGGCAGTAATATCAGGTCATTAATGAAATGCATATATTCATTTTGCATCTGTAACCTCTGAAACATAAGTTAATCATCTCAGAAGAGAGAGCTGATTTGTCCATGTCTGAATTTGTATTCAGAATCAACTCATCATCTCTTTTCCTAACTTTGATTTCTCTTAGGATCTTGAGGTCTTTGGGGGGCATTGTAGCGTGCATGAACCATGTGGTACCATAGATTGACAGGTGGCCCAGGCACAGGACATTTTGTCTGCTGACTCTGATGGCCCTCGGGGATTTGCTCAGCAGCAGCCAAGTGCAGAGCCCAGATCGTGGAATAAGCAGAGGAAATGTGCTTACAGCTCTCTGGGAGCTTAGTGTCCTCCACTTGGGTGTAATGGCCATTGTTCTTACAAGTGCTCTAAAATATTATGTTTCATTTTATGTGTCCTCTATTACCAGAGAAAATGGGAGCTGGCTTTCTGGAATAGAGGATTAGAGCAGGGCCCTGGGGCCAGGCAGCACAGTGCCTTGAAGTCAACCAGTTCTGGTTTTAGATTTGACCGCCCAGAGTTATATGACCTGGGGCAGGTTGCTTGAGTCTTTAAGTGGGGAAAAGAGCTATTAATAAGAACTCACACTTGGCACAGTCTTGACCCAAGGTTTTCCCTCTTAGATTGAATATAGGAAAGAATAAAAGATAGAAAAGGAACTTCTGTTTGGGAGGTAGTGAGGAGCAGCATGCTGTTGTAGGCTTCTTGGGGAATGGCACCTGCTTCTCAGTCCTGGAATGATGGTGTTGGTCCCAGGCTTAGTCTTCTCCCTTTCCGGCTGGGCGAAACTGGTTTCCTTGCCATTCCCCTGGTTCACACAGGGTCCCTGCGGTGCCTGCTAACTGAGTCTCTCTGTGTCTAGGAGTGCTCCCACGCCTGCACACTGCTGCCCTGCTGTAGGGACACTGTACAACACCAACACACTGGAGTCTTTCAAGACTGCGGATAAGAAGCTCCTTCTGGAACAAGCAGCCAATGAGGTTAGCCATTTTCTGTGGGCCTGGCAGGTAACATGTTTCTGATTGGGCACATGGGTCTGATGCAGAAACTAGTATATAATAAATATTTGAAGATGTTTGCAGGTCTCTGTTTATTTCTCTATAGAGAAATAAATTGCTCCTTCTGTACTGGCAAGAAGATCAGGGAGAAGACACTGGCTCTCAGCTGGACATAGGCCAGAGGGTGAAAACTCAGGTTTGCTGATCTCCAGTGAGCACTTTGGAGAAGCCTAGCCTCTCCCTGAAAGTTACATTCCTGTGGCTGAATGCATCCGGGTGCTCTGTGCCTTGTGCCCCAGAGAGGCTTGGTTGTCCTGTGCATGACGATGCCATGGGAGGTTAGTTATACAGAATCTCCAGCACTTTCAGGGCTAAAGCTAATCTGCTTCTGATTTATAAGGCCACTGTTGGTCTCTTTGGACTGTATTTGGTCACAGCAGATCAGCTGTAACTCCCATCACCTGCTTTCTCTTCTCTCTTGTCTTTTTGGGACATGATGTTCTCTATACCTGGAATATCTTTCCTTTGCTTCATAGCTGATTTAAAAGAATTTAAATAGGGATAGAGAGAAAAGAGAGGGACAGTTTATCCCAATCCTCCTTACCACTCTTAATTGAGTGATCTTTACACCAGTGTTAGTAAAAAAAAAAAAAAAGTCATCTTTTTAAAAATTTTTATTGGTATGTTGTAATTATACAGAATTGTGGGTTTCATTGTCATATATTTGTATTGCACATAACATAATTTGGTCAAGACCAGTAGAGTAGAGGATGTGCACTAGGGGGAGGGAAAGGGAACAGAAAGGCATGTACTGGACAATGAAATTGAATAAATGTCATCTTATATCCTGTTGATGGGAATGTTTATTTGTACAGCCTTTATAGAAAATAGTGTGACTGTTCCTCAAAACTCTGAAAATAGAACTATCATATATTCCAGCAATCCCACTTATGGGTATATACTCTTATATATCCCATGTAAATGAAATGACTATATGGAAGAGACATCTGGACTCCCATGTTTATTGTAGCACTGTTCACAATAGCCAGGAGGTGGACTCAACTTCGGTGTACATCAATGGCTGAAAGGATTAAGAAAATGTGGTACATAAATATAGTGGAATATTATTCAGCCATAAAATGAGAGATCCTGTTATTTGCTGTGACATGGGTGGAACTAAGTGATGTAGCCAGGCAGAGTATGACAATCACTGCATGTTCTTATCTCTTGTGAAAGCTGAAAATGTTGATCTCATAGGAGTAGAGAATAGAAGAGTGGTTACCAGAGGTTGGGAATGGGAGAGGAGAGAGAAAATATAGAGAGGGTGGATTTTAGGTATTAACATGAAGTGAGCTGGGAAGAATACATTCTAAGATTCTCTAGCATAATACGATAATCAGTTTACAGCAATTTATTGCATATCTCAAAATAACAAGAAGAAAGGATTTTGAAGGTTCCTGGCAAAGACAAGAATATTACTCTGATTTTATCATTTTCCATTGTATGCATGGCTTGAATCATCACACTATATTCCATAAATATGTATAATAATTCTATGTCAATTAAAAGACTTTTTGAAAGTACCATGCTTAAAATCAACAATTGTAGGAGAACAAAAAAGAGGGGGTTTCCTATTTTTGTGGGCACAATGGTCAGGGAAAGAAATCTCCTAGCCGGTCCCAAGGCAGGCTTCCCATACATCCCTCTCAGTGGATGAGGCTCATGACTCAGGTGGTGATGGCTGGTCATTTTTCTTGACCTGTGACCTGACTGCCTCTGGATCTCTTGCCTTGGCTGCACACTTAAAAGGGAACCTCCAAAGAGTTGAGACAGTTCTTAATCTATCATGGGAAAAATAGGTTGTCTTCACAGGAATCCCACCCCTTGACACTTGACAGGGGCTCAGACTTCTGGCAGTTTACACCTACCTCCATGTTGGCTCATGAGAAAGCCAGGGCCTGCTGTTTCAGGTCCAGTTCCTCCAAGGCCATGATGTCAATGGGAAGGGCTTATTTCTCCTTGCTTTTTCCACAGCTGTCCTTGGGGAATGGTTCTTCTGTTGGGGTGACTATTTTGTCCTGCTTAGCAACACAAAGTTTAGCAGCTAATCTTAGCTACTAAAACATCTTGTGACCAGGACCAGCTTTAGCTTCCAAAGTTCTTATGGAGTGTACATAAACTTGTATTTCATTCTCCTTTTCATCTCTCAAGGCAGGGTAAACCCAAGTCTGGCTTTGAGAAATCCCCTCACTGTAGTTGAGATCACTTCCTTCGAGAATCCCTGCTGGGTGATGTTACCCACTTCTATGATAGCAAGTCCAGTCTGTTGTTACCTACTTCTATGATAGCAAGTCCTACGTGGTGTTGAACTTGTACATTTATGCCTGTCTCTCTCCCGAGATTATGAGCTTCCTGAGGGCAGGGGCTGTGTCTTTTATTTCTGCAACCCTGTTGTAGAAAATAAGTAGGTAGCTACTGAAGGATATCAGGAATGCACAGGAGTGACCTGGTTGTCTCTTTTGTGCTGAGATTCCCATAGAGGAGATTCTTTGGCTGGAGGAGATGCTTTGGCTGGAGGAGACGCTCCCTTACTTGGCTCAGGAGCATGGCTGACAGAGAGGCAGTGTCAAGTGGGCCAGAAAGTAATGACCCTCTTCAGTGCCCAGGATAAGCAGTGCTGGGCCTCAAAACAAGAAGAGCCTGGGGCTTCTCAGTTTCACACTTTGCTTGACAGTGAGAAGCTCAGAGTTGCCCGGCAACCTGTCTTAACGCTTTTCTTGCTTTTGGCAGATCTGGGAATCCATAAAGTCAGGCGCTGCTCTTGAAAACCCTGTACTCCTCAACAAGTTCCTCCTGTTGACATTTGCAGTAAGTAAATGGGCTCTCTGTTGTACTGAGACTGGTGAAATCCCCAGTTCATTCTGGTGGACCAAGAGGACGGGCTGCTCTCTTCTCTCTGAAGGTGTTACCTCGTGATATTCAATATAGCTGTTAAAGAAGCTCTAATTTGATTAGTGGCTTTATTACAATGCAAAATGAATTCATTCATACTGATCACACTGGTAGTAGTTGCATAGTTTCTATAACACAGTGACCCAACTCCTGTTATTAAGGACATTATAAAGTCAGGCTTAGGGAGCAGTGGTTTCATTATTGCCAACTAACATCTTTGTTAAATACAGTCCTGAAAAGCTTAGTTGCTAGGCCCAGTGTGTTAATTGTCATTATGACAAAATACCTGAGATACTCAACTTATAAGGAGAAAATTTATTTTGGCTCATGGTCACTTGGCCCTGTTGCCTTTGGACCTGTGGCAGCACTCATGGCAGGAGTTTATGGTGGAGAAGCTGTTCATTTCAGGGTGGCTAGGAACAAAGAGAGAGACAGGAAAGGAGGGAGAGGGTCCCAATATCCCATTCCAGGACACATCCCCAGTAACCTCATTTTCTTCCACTATGTCCCCTCCTAAATCCCCATCACCTGCCAATGGGCACCACAGTCTGGCAACCAAGGCCTTAACATGTGGGCCTCTGGGGGACACTCCAGATTCAAACTGTAGCACCCCTTAAATAAGGGAAAAGAGCTTCTGGGTCAGAGGAGCTCACACAATGTGGCTTGACCATACAATTTTATTTATTTATTTATTTTAACAAAGAAAGAACCAGGCATGTTGTCATATGCCTATACTTCAAGTGCTCAGAGGCTGAGGCAGGACAATCACAAGTATGAAGCCAATTTGGGCAACATAGCAAGACCTTGTCTCAAAAAAAGTTTTTAGATAAAAATTAATAAACAAAGGAAAATGCCTTTATATATATGATCTAATTTTAAAATACATTAAGGGAAGCCTTGAAGAGGAAAAGGAATCACATGAGTGTTACATCACTGCCTACAGTGGGTAGAGTTAAGGAGCTGGAGGGAAAGACTAGGTCTCAGTGAAGAGGCAAGTTAGGGAAAGGTAAAGGCTGCTTGTAAAGATACTAGCTATGCACACACATGCAAATGTGTGTAGAGATGGTCCCTGGCTTTTGATGGTTTGACTTAGGATTTTTCAGCCTTCTCTGAAAGTGTATCCATACAACCATTCCCTTTCTCACTTTCAGTACAATGATCAATACTTTGCATGAGGTATGCAACACTTTATGGAAGAGGCTTTGGGTTAGATAATTTGGCCAATTGTAAGCTACTATAAGTGGTCTGAGCACATTTAGGGTGGACTAGTCTAATATGTGATGTAGATTAGGTATATTAAATGCATGTTTAACTCAGGTGATGTTTTTAACTTATGATGGGTTTACCTAGACATAACCCCATTGTGTATCAAAGAACATGTGTGCGCGCGCGTGCATGTGTGCGTGCACGTTTGTAAGTGTAAGTAAAACTGATTTGTCCTTTATGTTAACTGTATAATGTTCTGTCTAGTAAATATTCCATAGACTCCTGTTGTACATTTAGGTTGTTTCTTTTCTTTCCTTTTTTTCCAGTGCTGGGGATTGAACAACAGGGACGCTTTACCACTGAGCTATATTCCCAGCCCTTTTTATTTTATATTTTGAGACAGGGTGTTACTATTGCCGAGACTGGCCTCAAACTTAAGATCCTCCTGCCTCAGCCTTCTGAGTTGCTGAGATTATGGTATAGGTGTGTGCCATTAGGTTGTTTCTAATGTTCCCTATTATAAAAAATGCTGCAGGAAGCAATATTGACCATATTGATATTCTTTTTTCCTGCTCATTTTATTTACTTAGAGTAAGTTCTTTGCCGTGGATGAAGTGTGTATCATTACAGCTTCATCTGCTTCTCCTAAATGCCACCTCCCTTTTTTATTGCCCAAGCACAGAGGGAATGGTGGGACCCCAAAGATTATAGCAATGTGTGGTTATCTACAAGGAGCACATTTTCTAATAAGTTATGGTAATCATTTTCTGTACATTTGATTACTTTTGTAGGTTCTCTACTAGGATAGATTTATTTAAATATTGCTAAATATTTCTGGTTTTTTTAGTTGAACATTAATACATTTCTTATACCAAGAATTCTCTTTAATAGGACATAAATAACAATTTGCCCTTAATGAGAAAAATAACAGCTCTGACTTAAAGTTTGGAGGCATTTCTCAGAGGTGTTATGTGTGTTGGCCTCACTGCCCTTTCTGAGTGTTCTTAGCCTGATTTACAAAAAAAAAAAAAAAAAAAAAATTAATTTCTCTTTTAAAATCTTCAGGCTCAAAGAGCCTTATGTTTAATTTAACCAAGGTCCTTTGTATCCTGAAAAGAATCCTAAGAAATTCAAGCCTTTGGCTTTTGAAGATGACCTGATAAAACTCCTTAGAATGTGTGAGGTCCTTCATCTTGAATTGTTTAACCTTTCGCTAAAGATCAGTTATGACAAATCATTTAAGTACAAAGAAGAGAGAATCATCTCTGGGGGATGTTTTTGCTTTCCTTTCTGCTGTTTTTAGGCCTCAAAGGACCAGACACTTCATTAATTTCAATTTTTCAGTTTGTTTTGCCATCGTGAAAAGGGAGTTTTTTCTTAGTTGATCAATTAGTGGTAGAGTTAGACACTGTGGAAACTAATTAGTAGACCTTCTTATCTGGAAGCATGTTTATATGTAAATTTATGTTTAAAGAGTCATCAGGTATGATTCCATTTGTATGAAAAGGCCAGAACAGACAAATCCATAGAGACAGATGATAGGTTAATGGTTGTTTGCTAGAGGATAGAGAGGTAGGGGAGTAGAGAGCTTCTACCAGAAGGTACACAAATGGCTATGGGCTGATGAAAAGATTCTAAAATTAGTGGTGATGGTGGTTCAATTTTGTCCAAATTCTAAAAGAAAAAAAAAGTCCCACTAAAATGGACAGCTTAACATGGTGAATTTTATAGTATATAAATTATTTCTCAATTTTAAAAAGGTCATCTGATGAGCAAAATGGTGCATACCTGAAATCCAAGCAACTTGGGAGGCTGAGGCAGGAGTATCTCAAGTTCAAGTCCAGCCTTGGAAACTTAGCAAGATTCTGTCTCAAAATTAAAAATGAAAAAATCTGTGGGGGTGGGCCAGGGTTATGGCTCAGTGTAGAGTGCTTGCCTAGCACGTGCGAGATGATGGGTTCAATGCTCAGCACCACATAAAATAAGTAAAATACAGGTATTCTGTCCAACTACAACTAAAAAATATTTTAAAAAAATAAAAGATCTTGGACTATAGCTCTGTGGTAGAGTGATCCTGGGTTCAATCCCCAGTACCATTGAACAACAAACAAAAAGTCATACCAAGCCACAGTTTTTATTCTTATCAAGATTCAAGAAGAAATATTAACTAGCTAGATAACTGTATTAGTGTCCAGTTGTCACAGATAAGTGAGGAAGCTGCTCAGTACCCATGTAAATCTGGTACTGTACCACATGAGTGATGCAGGCCCCAAACACTGCAGGAATTCAAAGACAAGAAAGAGCCCAGGTGGGAGCAGTATCAAGGATAGCCTCATGAATCCTCTTCCCTGGGTCAAATCCCCGTCCTTGGGTTGCTTTAACCTGGTGTGGAAATGTCTTAAATCCCAGTGAAGTTGAAAACACTTCTACCATTGTTGCTCCTTTGTATTTGAAACTTCAGTGTGACTCTTATGGTTAATCCTGCACACATTTTATCTCTGTTCCACATAGAAAATGAGCTGCCCGATGGCTGGGCCGAGGTTGATTCATTTTATCAGAATGGCTCATATTTTGCTTTGTACATAGCAAGTGCTTAATTAATAGTTGTTGACTTGAATTTCACCAGCAAGGCATTTCAAAAAGCGATGATATATAGGTTCAGCACCCTTAATCTGAAACTTAAAAAAAAATACTCAAGCATCAAAACTTTTTGAATGGTAACATATGATACCACAAATGGAAAATTCCACAACTGACTTTATGTGATGGACTATAGTCAAAATACAGGCACATTAAAAATATCATATAAAATTACCTTCAGCCTGTGCATAAGATGTATATAAAATATAAGTGAATTTCATGTTTACACTTGGGTCCCTTCCCCAAGATATCTMATTATGTGTATACAAATACCTCAGTACTTTAAAAAAAAAAACAAACCAAATCCATAATACCACTGGTCCCAATCATTTTATAGCAAGAATTTTCTCAGGCATGGGTACAAGAATGACATGGTTTCCTCAATGATGTGCTTAACTTATTTCATTGTGAAGAGAGCTGTATGGGGATTGGCGTTCATTACTCCACCACAGATCCATCAAGTGTGTGTGGTACAGTCATGGAAGCAGCTGAAGTCATGGAAACATAGTTCTGATCCCTCCCCCTTTACCTCTTTTTGTTGTTACTGTTCAAGTGCTTTATCCTTTTCCAAGCTTCAGTTTTCTGTCTATAAAATGGGATAATAATAGTTGTCTCTAAGGGTGGTTTGTATTAAAGCATGCCAATGATAATATCAATGACATATTGCACATTTTCTGTTAGCAAGTGATCAATAAAGTAGGTTATGTTTACCGTCACATTATTAGTGTGTACTGTGAGAGGGTATTTGGGATTGTTTATAGAGGGACAGTGCTGGGGATGCAGCCAAGGGCCTTGTGCCTGCAAGGCAAGCACTTTACCACTGAACTATATCCTCAGCTGGGAGAGTATTTTGGGATCAAGGCAGAAGTTCTGTGTTCTGTTGGGATTTCTGTTGGGATGAGAATATTTGACAAGCTAGACATTTTGTGTGCATCGATTTTCTTTCTTAATTAGCTATGAGACATTATTATATGCATTTCAGTTTAATTATTAGTGCTCTTCTGATATTTTATATGTTTTGTTCTAGGATTTAAAGAAGTACCACTTCTACTATTGGTTTTGCTATCCTGCCCTCTGTCTTCCAGAGAGTATTCCTCTTATTCAGGGGCCAGTTGGTTTGGATCAAAGGTTTTCATCAAAACAGGTATTAGCCTATAAAACAAATTCAGATAAAGTTGAGTTTAAGCAAACAGGAACACCTCTGGATGAAGAGGTGGTACTAGAATCCTCCAAAGACCAGATGTATTCACAAATTGTGAAGTCATTTTCTAGAGGTAGAGAACAGTATTCCATGGTATGGAATTACATAGGTGTTCCATGGTATTTGGTGAAAGACTAACCCTGCAGGGAGGAATTATAGGAACATTTTGAAAGGCTGGAAGCATTTATCAAAATGTGGTTTTCACTTTCAGTGTGGGGAAATATAAAGCAATATCTTTGGGGAAGAAAATCTTTGAAACAAAATACAAGAGCTTCTACCACCCTCACACTAAGTAGCAGAACATCTCCATCATGCAGAACTAGGCATTGCCATTTAAGGAGGGCATTAGAGATCAGTCCTGAGAAGAGCAATTAAATTAATTAGGCTGGTGGAACACACACCCCAAACTAGAGAATTTTGATTATTGTTTAAGGCAAAGATTGAATATTAAGATCATTTTAATTCAAGAAGCATATCAGTGACTAAAAGCCTATATTCTGAAGCCATAGAGCAGCTGCTAATGATTATAATAACAGTAATAATAATAATAATAATAATAATAATAATAATAATAATAATAATAATATTTAGAACAAATTCAAGGTTTTACCTGAATTAGTGGTTTTACCTGACTAATTTGTCAAAAAGGAATCTACATTGGGGTAAAAATAATTATGAATGAGATGGACTGCTTGTGGGTATGGGGTTTCTTTTAAGGAGGAGCAAAAATGTTCTGAAATTATCTCAGTGATGGTTGTACAATTCTGTGAACATACTGAAAATAATAATTGAGTTATATATTTTAAATGGACAATTTGTATAGTATATCTTAATAAAGCCGTTAAAGATTATGGTAAAATTTATCAGTGGTAGGTTTATGTTCACAGGAAAGATAGAATACTTTGACCATCTCTCTCAGCCTCTGTGATTGACAACTTAGGGAACCACCACGCTGTACCATAAAATGTCCCTTTGTTTTCCTAAGACACATCACCATACACATAGAAAGTGTTATGTAAAAGTCAAATGGTGTTATTAGGGGGCACTTTTGTGTTTATTTGCTACAAAAATCCAACAGGGTTTTGGTCAGTCATTTGTAGTCTTTTGGCTTTAAGGTACTTTGTATTTAATATCAGCTTTTAACTCAGAGGTATAGATATGTAATTTTCTAGAGAGTAACTTCACATTTTCTGTTTTCAGATTCAAGCCCTTGAGCGGGCATATGATGATCTTTGTCAAACAGAAGGTGTCACAGCCCTACCATACTTCCTAATCAAGTATGATGACAACATGGTGCGAGTTTCCTTGCTTAAGCACTACAGTGATTTCTTCCAAGGTCAAAGGATAAAGGTCAGAGAAACTTTGAGTATTTAGTTATCTGGTTAAGGAAAAAAATCTCAAATTCATATTATAATAGACTGCTAAAAAATTTAAAATTAGATTTCTTCCACCCTCCAAATGATGTTGTTGAACATTTCTTATATTTGTCCTCTCCTACCCTTACTGTTCTCAAACCAGCTCCTCTTTTACATTGCTCCAGTTCTCTTATAGCTCCCAGTAATTTTGGATTCCTCACTTCCTATTAGTGATAAAGGTATTTTGATTTTCTCTCCTGATGTATTTTACTCCTGTGTTTTCATTTTTATTCTCGGTGCTAACACTGTAGCTCAGGCTCTCCTTTTCTCACTCCTGGATATTTTGAATCTTCTTGCTGCCATCTTGCGTGACTCTAATATGGAAAAATCTTCCTCAAACTACTTAAATTCACTCTGTCGTTCATTGGCCAGAAGCCTAGTGGTGACTTCCTTCTGGCTCAGGCTATCTTTCAGTCTCCTACTATTTTCCTCATAAATATTTGCTCCAGCAAATCCTATCTGTTTTTTACCAGACCATCCCTACTGCCACCCAATCAAATATACATAGACCTTTTTCGCGTATCTTCCTTTTCCTCACACACTATCATCTTCCTGAAACATTTCCTGAGAAACTCTTGCTCTCCTTATTGCAATTCTCCTTTCATATGAAATGTTCTCATGGGGGTGGCCATGTATGATCTCTCCTTATCTGGACTCACTACACTTATTCCTAATCTGCATTTATAGTACCTTGTCTGGATTCCTTTTCATGCAGTTTTAGACTGTAAGCTCCTGGAGGGCAAGGCCCATGTCTCATGGATCTGTGTCTGCATAGTGTCTAGCATTTGTCTGAGGCCCCCAGTAAGGTTCTTTTGAATAAATGGAACAGTCCTGTGTCTTTTAGAAGCAAGGATAACACTAGTAAACTATCTCAGCTGTATGGAGGCGGTGAATTAAAAATAAAAGATCGTTGAGTATTGTGAAATGAAGTGGAATAATGTCATAGCCATGTACATATATCAGAGCTAAGAAAAGAGAGTCCCTTAACTGATGGCCCAATTATCCCTTAGCATAAATTTAGGATGTCCTTTTTTTTTTTTTAATCATCAGCAGCATTAGCATTTTTCACAGTGAGGACCAAGAATTGAATTTTTATTAAAATTCTTAATTTCTCCAGATGATTTCATAGAACTACAGCTAAATTAGTGGCAATAAGACTAATCACTGATAATTTTCTTTTTTGGTGCTGAGGATTGAACCTAGAGCTTTGCTCATGCAAAGCACACACTTTACCATAGAGCTAGCCCTAAACCCAAGTGTGAGGTTCTTTTGTGACAGCAGGCAGGGCTTGCTCAAAAGCAGCCATAGGTCAGGTTGAATGTGGTAAATAAATACCCCCCACAAAGTGCCACTCTACCAAAATAATAACAATCTGTAGAGCAGTCTACACTTTGAAAGGGGCTTTTGCAAACTTGATGTTTTTATAATAACTGTGAAATAGGTGTTACAGTGTCTGCATTTTCCATTTGAAGCATAAGAAATTGAAAGTTACCAGAGTCAACAGTCTGCTTCCAAAGCCCCTGTGCTTTCTGACATCTCTCTTTTACATCTCTCAGGTGGAGGCTTGACCTTGGGAATCTAAAAGAGATCTATATTTGACACCAGCATTGCCACTGTTAGTTCTGTGATCTTCGGAAAACTGCATAACCTGTTCTCACCTTAGTTCTTCTATTATATGTTACCAACACTACCTCTTTACACACGTTTGTAATGATTAAATATGATAATATAAAATGGCTGGCATGTAGCAAGTGTACAGTATGTATGCACTTCCCCAACAGCAGCATATTTTTGAAAGACTGAAGAGATCTTGAGGCCTCCTCCTAAGTGCTCTTGGGGATTCACTAGTATCCAACCCTGAGACTCTGCCAATGTCAGGCATAATGCCCTTCACTTTGTTAGAGGTGTATCAGTTGGTTAGAGCCAGGCTTTAGAAAAGCCTGGAATTACTCAGTACATATGTTGAGCACCTCCTTCTGGRCTAGAAATCACAAGATATGATTATAGCTGTTATCACAGAACCTAAGTCTTCTGTGGGAGATGTGGCACTAACTGACTTATGGAAAGTTAACCAAAAGTTTAGGTAATGGAAGAGAAGGGACATAGAAATGACACTTGGGTTGTTTGTCTAGTAGGGATCACCAGAAGCTGTGCAGACTGATGACCTCATAGGATATTCTCATGGCCTCCCAGCCACAGGCCTGAATGTTTCCTCAGACCTCTGCAGTGCTGTACACAGGCATGTTCTAACATTTGATTATGTCACTCTTCTTCTTGAAAAACCCTTACTGTGGACTTCAGGATGAAGTTAAAACTTCTTGGGCTGGGGTTGGGGCTCAGTGGCAGAGTGCTTGCCTAGCACATGCAAGGCACTGGATTTGATCCTTAGTACTGCAAACAAAAATGAGCAAATAAAATAAAGTCATGTTGTCCATCTACAGCTACAAAAAAACGAAAAACAAACCAAAAAAACGCCCACATGTTATCTTAGAATTCAAAACCTCTTCATATCTGGCTTTTGCCATTACTCCAGCCTTACCCATTGCTCACCTCTTTATATTCCCCAAGATGGAGCCTGTGCCCTGGCTAGTGCTGTGCTCTCCAATGCTGCATGCTTTTCCCACCTCTCTGCCATCAGATATCCCTTTCGTGTCCGTCTCCATATCCCCCTCCTTCTGTCTCTGTCTGGTGCCTTACTCAACATTCTGATTCATCTCTCCAGGAAGCACCAACTGACTTTGCTGTTTCAGAGGCCTCTTTTGGGTTCTCCTTCCCAGTACCATCTGAGCTCTGAAGTGCTTGCTGGTTTGCTTATCTGCATGTCCACATCCCTAGCCCTCACCCCCTCCTCTTACCAGTACTTTGATCCCAAAAATGTCACTATTCCTCTCTGAGCTTTGTGTGTTCACACATAAAAGAATGGAGAAATGTTGGAATCCTGCCATTGTTCTCTTTTTTTCAGTGTATTTTCTCTTCTGGGCAATATCATTGTGTCCACGTCTTCGGTAACCATTTCCTCATGCATGACCCGCTTTGCTACCACCAACCTGAACCTCCCTCTGGACCCCCAAACCACTTTATCTAGCCTTCTGCTGACCTTCTGAAACCCCATGCATTCAACACACACCACCTGAACCAGCCCAAGGCTGGGCAGCACCATCTCAGAATGATAGTGCCTCCTTCCAGTTGCAGGAGCCAGAAATCTGGGTCTCCTGCTGGATACCTTTCTGCCTCTTACCACCCCCATATCTACTGGATTTCCTATCTTGAACTTAGTCTGCTGCCTTTGGATTTCTTCTGCCACCACTCCCATCTAATCTACAATCATTTTTCATCTGTGTCACTGTGGTATTTTCCAAATAGGTCTTGTCTGGTTTACTTTGACCTCTATTAAAAAGGTTTATTTCTCTTGTTGTGGGCTCTTTAGTACTGTATAACCCTTCTTTGGGGTATTTATTTAGCACACTAGTAATTTTATATCTTCTTGAGCAATCTTTGATTAATATCTTTTCCCCCATTTAAATGTAAGCTCCTAACTGGGTGAGGTGGTTTACACCTACAATCCCAACTAGGGGGGCTGAGGCAGGAGGATGGCAAATTCATGTTCAGCTTGCAAAACTTAGCTAGATTTTGTCTCCAAAAATGAAAAAAGCTAGAGATGTGACTCAGTGATAAGAACACCTCCTGGGTTCAATTCCCACTACTTCCAAAAAAAAAAAAAAAATGTAATTTCTGTCAGGACTCTATCTCTGATCTCCCACCACTGCACTTGCGACCTGTGGTGTCATGCCTGGTGTGTAAAACATGATGGAAGAATGAGTTCAGATATGAATGAGTTGTGAGGACTGGGGAATTCCATTTTGGAAGCTCCTGAGTCAGTGCCTCCCACACAGTGGGCCTTAAGGAAGTCAAGGCAGCTCTTAGGATGGCTCATTGTAAGTGCTGTCTTTTAACATGAACATTCCATTCTGATGTAGGCCAGGAAGTTTACAAAAACTTTCCCAAATTGTCTATATACCTGAAATTTATGTGCAATGAGTCAGAGAGGTCATTAGTGTTCTCACAGGAGAGAGGCTAGAGGGCAAGTATGTGATCTACAATGGGTAATTTAGTTTTGGGGTCATTGGAACAAATGCATAACCTCTGACAATTCAGTAGAAGCCATGAATCCCCTGCAGAAAAGACACACCCGCATCCAACTCTACATCTAATGTCAGGACTCACAGAGGGCTGAAACCCATTCATGGGTCCTCTCTGCATCCCTGTCTTGAAGAAGGATGAAGGGAATTTTGATAGCGATTAGCTTTCCTGGGAGGGAGCCTGTAGGATTGCTGGGGTCAGGGGGCAATAGACCATCTTAAATTTGTTCTAAATTTAAGTGGGACCTTTGCCTCCAGAAGTGCTATTCACTTGTGTGAGAAGGCTTGGCTGGCTCTGGGTAGTGGGTACCTGTCCCTGAAGAGGGCACTTTACTAGCCATCAGCAGCTACAGTGGCCATGATCAGGGTTCTAATCATGTGCCAAGCACAGAGCTAGGCACTCACACACCTTACTGCTGATCCTCAAAGTGAGCAACATTCTGTCAATTTTGCACATGAGGAAAATGCAGAAGAGGTTTGGGAACAGAAGCCTCACACATAAACTCTGTGACCTCCTGCAGTCACAACTCTTCCTGCTGTGGAAGACACACAGCCCTGTTTTCCTCCCTAGCTCCCAACAGGCTGTGGTAGAGTAAGAAGCCAGACTTCAAGTCCCACTGCAACTTAAATGAGCCAGTGACCCCTCTGATCCTCAACTTCCTCATCCTAAACAAGCATGCAGTAATAACACCCCCTTCCTCAGGAGTGGCTGTGAGAATTGAGAGATGATGAATAAAATAGGCTTCATTAAGTTTTATTCACATGTTCGAATTGTTCCCACCGTATTTTCTTAGAA